TTTGCACTAGTAGAGCTTACTCCGGTTTTGAGCAGGAGTAATCTCATCTGTGCAAATAGAGGTACGGCTACACTTGTGGTTGTAATCAGGGCAATATCCCCAGTCTAAAATCAAAGACCTAAATCAATGATGGGTATGAACCATTGGAAAGCAGCCCGATGTATTGAAGATGGGACACTTGGGGATTCCCTTGTACAGGAGTCAGTTTAGGTTCCAAACTCCCCTGTGTATGAACCAAACTATCTGTGGTAGAATGAGAGCACCTCACAACCGTTAATATCTTTATTTATCCTCACAACACCCCTTTGATGTAGGGCACTACACCCGCAGTTTCCCTACTATTGTTATTTGGCTAGCTAGATCAAAACTAGTTCAGGCGTGTCTATGCGTGCTCTGATTACAATGTAGACCTCTCCTTAGGGTACGTCTACACTGCAGCCAGGGCAGTGAATAGCAACTTGGATACAGGTACCCAAACTTCTTTAATCTAGTAGCTCACTGAAAGTAGCAGTGAGGACACAGCAGTGAGGACCCCTCCCCCCTCCGGGCATGTATTCCCTTGTGCAGCTCACACTGCAGCATCCTCACTGCTATATTTAGCAAGCTAGCGAGATGAAAGCTAGCACAGGTAACTGCACATACGCACCTGGCTGCAGCGTAGATGTACCCTAGATGATTTACCCAGGGTAATGCAGGGGGTCGGTGGCAGGACAGAGAAATGAACCCATGTCTCTAAAGTCCCAGGCTAGGACCTGAACCACTGGATCCTTCCTCCAGCTGTCCCTAAGCTTGTGTTCAATGTCTATTTCTACGTATTGTCAGCATCATAGCAGAGAGGACATTCCTGTTTTTCCCACTTGGTGCCGTACCCACTTTACCTACAGACTTTTTGTTTAATTACTGCTTTAATGTTTTAAATTCCTGCCTGACGCAGGGTGATCTGGATTTAAAAAGTGCATTTGTTTTTCCTATTCCCACACCATAAGTTATATGCTATGTTTCAGGTGGAACAGTCGATAAGGTTTCTATGACATTTTCCTTATTTCCCAATCCGACCTGTGTTCTGGAAACTTTCCGGCTCCTAATATTTCTTTATATAGAGGATCATGTCTGCAATGCACTCTAACAGTCACAAACCTGTTTTTCCGGGAGTTAGACAGGCTCTTGGAGGAAAGTAAAATGATGCGGTAAACAGTAGCCAGTTAGATGGAGGGAGCTACAATTGTGACAAGGATTAGTTGCAGAGAGAACATGGTAAATGCTTTGTAAACAATGGTACTCAGTCGTATGGTAACAAGCAGTACCGTTCCCCTGGATTGTCCTAAGAGTGTGCACTTTACTCGGACAGGCCCCGATTCAGCAAGGTACACGAGCTAACTTTAAGCATATGAGTGGCCCCTTTGATTTCTGTGAGACAGTTTACATACCTAACAGGTGAAGCAGAGCTATAACCATCCATTAGAAGGCAGTGACACATATCAACACTAGCCGTCTGGTTACAAATATCTCCAGGTGATTTATTGCTATCCAGTGCTCTTGCCATGTCTCTAAGGTGGTGGGTAGGTTATGGGTGGTTTATGCCCTCAGCAAGTTCTTTGTGGTTATGTCCCGGAGAAATTCTACGTGTCTGTTTGTCACACACACACACAGAGCTTCTCAGCCCTTCCAGTAGAGTTGCTACCTGTACTGGTTTTTCCCAGAATTGTCCCCTTTTTTGAGGTAGCTCTCCTCAGAAATCTGTAAGGGTGCTCAGTAAACACTGTCCTGTTTTATGGTCCCAAGATCACTCCAGATGTCCCCTTTTTTGTACCTCAGAGGTGACCAGGTCTTAATTTGTGCCAGGGCTGAGCCCTGGCACCTCTAGGCTTGGCACTTCATAGTCAGTTATGAAAGTAAAAAAATTGTGCGAGCCCTGGCACCTCTTTCATTATAAATTAAGCACTGGAGGTGGAAACCCTAAACTCTCAATGAAAATGGGAGATAGAACCTGGTATCCCCAAGGGGGTGCCCAAAATCAGGACCTTCCCAAGTAATGCGGAAGATGGAACAGCTCTGGCTGGGGCCTTTGGGGACCATCTTGTGGAGAGCAAGCCAGAGAGCTCCATGATGTGAATTGCTGGGGTGTGTGAAGGTGACAGAAATGTCCCAGTGGACAAAGCAAGCACGCCTGTCTGTCAAGATGGATTTGCTAGCAGCAGTCCTTTATGGGAGATGTGAAGAATCATAGTAATCACTCTCATGAATTCATGGCTGAGGGAGGGTGAGTCAGTGGAGAGGGAGGAAGGAGAGGGAATAAGGGAGAGAAAATAAGTATGGGGGCGGGGGGACTGGCTGGGGCAGCACTCCTAGGTTTTAAACCTCAGCTTGGCAGCTATTCATTCGACAAACAAGGAAAAAAATTCGGGAACATTGGTGAGTGTGTGAGTGTCTTTACCTGCTTCGTGGGAGCAGCGGCGGCTCCAGGCACCAGCGTTCCAAGCGCGTGCCTGGGGCGGCAAACCGCGGGGGGCGCCCTGCCAGTCCCTGCGAGGGTGGCAGTCAGGCAGCCTTCAGCGGCGTGCCTGCGGGAGGTCTGCCGGTCCCGCGGATTCGGCGGTAATTCGGCAGTGGGTACGCCGAAGCCGCGGGACGGGCGGATCTCCCGCAGGCAAGCCGCTGAATCCGCGGGACCTGGGGCCTCCCTCAGGCAAGCCACCGAAGGCGGCCTGCCTACTGTGCTTGGGGTGGCAAAAAAAGCTAGAGCCGCCCCTGCGCAGGGCTGCCCAGAGGATTCAGGGGGCCCGGGGCAAAGCAATTTCGGGGCCCCCTTCCATAAAAAAAAGTTGCAATACTATAGAATACTATATTCTCGTGGGGGCCCCTGTGAGGTCCGGGGTCTGGGGCAAATTGCCCCACTTGCCCCTCCCCTGGGCGGCACTGCCCCTGCGTGGGAGAGGGTGAGGGGAGGAGTTCTTGCCTCCCTCCTCCCACTCCTCTTTGCTCCCAGTGCACTGAGGGATTTAGGCCTGCCTGTCCCACCCCTGCCATTGCATGGGGGTGTGTGTGAAAATTAGTGCTTCTCTCTCGCCTGTGAGAAATGTCCCCCGTGGAGCCACAGAGAGCTTGGCAGCTGGGCTCTCACGCAGGTTTGAGCTCAGTGTAATTTGTTGAATTCAGAGGAGTTACCCTCGAGTTACACCAGTGTAAAGAGGTCAGGATCAGGTCCTCTGCACTGACTGTGGCAGTTTTTTTCTGGTTCTGCTGAGTGATGGACTCACTAAAACAACGAGGAGTCCTTGTGGCACCTTAGAGACTAACACATTTATTTGGGCATAAGCTTTCGTGGGCTATAAAGCCACAAGGACGCCTCGTTGTTTTTGCTGATACAGTCGAACATGGCTACCCCTCTAAATACTCACTAAATGAATTTTTAGGGCAAATTCTCAGTGGACAGGTAGCTAATGTTTTAACAAGGGCCTACCGGGAAAACGGTGTCCCTTTAGCAATGATGATATGAACCAGGAGTGCATATGCTGGAGACAGGAAGCTTGGCGGACTGGGGAATGCATCCATTTGTTCCCTCTTTTAAACAAAAAAGCTCTTTCATACTTATAGCCCAGGAAAGAGGCAACAGCACTTGGCAAAGACATTGATATTAAATGCACTTTGCTTGAAATGTTTATCCTTCCTTCCCGATAGGCATGTGGAATATATTGCTCAGTATTATTCAGTTTATTGGGTGTGATGACCTCATGGGGTTGGTGTGATGGGTTCGGTCACAGAGACGCTCTTGGGACTGTCACCTGATGTGCTGAAATTACCTCTGAGCCTGTTTTCCCTGCCAGTTTGGGACTCCAGAACCCTGCTTTGTTGAGCCAGACACACTAGCCTGCTGCAACACAGACCCAGAGTCCGGGCCACGCCCCCAAAGCTACAGACTTAACTAAAAACAGCTCAGCAGGTTACCTGTCTCCAGCACCCAGACAGCCAACCCCCAATGCGATCCAAAAACCCAAATAAATCCGTTTTACTCTGTATAAAGCTTATACAGGGTAAACTCATAAATCGTCTGCCCTCTATAACACTGATAGAGAGATATGCACAGCTGTTTGCTCCCCAGGTATTAATCACTTACTCTGGGTATATTAATAAACAAAAGTGATTTTATTAAGTATAAAAAGTAGGATTTAAGTGGTTTCAAGTAATAACAGACAGAACAAAGTAAGTCACTAAGCAAAATAAAACAAAACATGCAAGTCTAAGCCTAATACATTAAAAAACTGATTGCATGTAATATCTCACCCCCAGAGATGTTCCAATAAGCTTCTTTCACAGACTAGACTCCTTCCTAGTCTGGGCCCAATCCTTTTCCCTGGTACAGTCCTTGTTAGTTCCAGCAGACATCTTAGGTGGTAAACAGCGATATTCTCATGACTGGGACTCTTGGTCCTGCTCCACCCCCTTTTATAGTTTTGGCACAAGGCGGGAATCTTTTGTCTCTCTGGGTCCCCACCCCTCCTTCTAAATGGTCAGATGCCACTGTAAGACCTCATTCTTCATTACCCCTGGGCTGGCCCACAAATACACAGGAAGACTTGCAGGTAAACAAACCATTTACAACCAATTGTTCTAGTCAATATGAGCCATCAAGCTTCTAAACCACCATTAATGACCCACACTTTACATAATTACAATAGGACCTCAGAGTTATACTTCATATTCAAAGTTTCAGATACAAGAATGATATATTCATATAAATAGGAGGAATATATTCAGTAGGTTATAAGCTTTGTAATGAGCCCTTACAAGAGACCTTTTGCATAAAGCATATTCCAGTTACCTCATATTCACACTCATAAGCATATTTCCATAAAACATATGGAATGCAACATCACAGCTGGGACCTAGGCTATCCTCCCTGGGAACATCTCCATGGAGCCTGGGGCCAGCTGGGAAGTTTGGATCGGGATCCGATGGACTTTTCCTGGGTGCTGACTGCCCTCTCCTTTTGTCTTTTTTAGCCTTACGCATCTGGTCTGCCACACCTGCTTTAAAAGGCAGGAGAAGCTCCACCGCTGTGGTCAGTGTAAGTTTGCCCACTACTGTGATCGAACCTGCCAGAAGGATGCCTGGCTTAACCACAAACATGAATGCTCTGCCATCAAGGCGCATGGGAAAGCGCCCAACGAAAACATCAGGTGAGAGGGCAAGGGTGATGATTTTGGTCTGGTTCCTGAGTAGGCCTGAAAAATGTAGGCTTGAGGGGGGGGTTCTCTTCTGTGATCACTCCTCTCCACCCCTCCCTACCTGTCGCTTTCCCTTAAGGTAGGAAAAAAGTGAGAGTGCAGTGGTCTCTAACCTTTTTACGCCCAAGATCACTTTTTGAATTTAAAGGCAATCCAGGATCTACCCAGCCCCTTCCCCAAGGCCCCGCCCCTTCCCCGAAGCCCCACCCCATTCATTCCATCCCCCCCCTCCCCCGTGTCTCGTTCTCCTCCACCCTCACTCACTTTCACCGGGCTGGGGCAGGGGGTTGGGATTCCGAAGGGGGTGTGGGCTCTGGGCAGTGGCCGAGGGGTTTGCAGTGTGGGAGGGGGCTCAGGGTAGAGCCTGGGGCAGGGAGCTGGGGTGCAGGAGGGGGTGAGGGGTGCAAACTCTGGGAGGGAGTTTGGGTGCAGGAGTGGCCTCTGGGCAGGAGGGGGTACAGGGTGTGGGCTCTGGGAGGGGGTTAGGGCTAGGGCAGGGGATTCGGGTGCAAGAAGGGGTTTGGGGTGCTGGCTTTGGGAGGGGGCTCAGGGCTGGGGCAGGGCTTTGGTGTACTGGAGGGGGTTTGGGGTGCAGGAGGGGGTATGGGGTGCTGGCTCCGAGAGGGGGCTCAGGGCTGGGGGTTGGGGTGTGGCATCCCGCCAGGGACACTTATCTCGGGCAGCTCCCGGGCGGTAGTGCAGCAAGGTTAAGGCAGGGTCCCTGCCTGCCTTGGCCCCATGCTGCTCCCGTAAGGGGCCAACGTGCCCCTGTGGTCCCTGGGTGGGCGGGCAGGGGTAGGGCCGGCTCCAGGCACCAGCCGAGCAAGCTGGTGCTTGGGGCGGCAGCTTGTAGGAGGCGGCATTCTGCCCAATCCTAGGGTGGCATGGCCGCTTTTTTTTTTTTTTGGTTGGTGTTCTGCTCCGGCCGCCCTGTAGGGGGCGGCGGCGTGGAGGACGGGAGCACCCTGCAGCAAGCCCAGCAGGGCAGCCCGCGTCCTTCCCTCCCAGCCGACCGGAGCAGCGCAGAGCCCTCCCGGCAAGCGGCGGGGCCGCATGGAAGTGCCCTGCTGAAGTCCTGGCCGCCCCCCTTCTCTCTCTTTCCCCCAGCTCCCTCTGCTAGCTGGGGCACATCTGCAGCGCAGGGAGTTCCCCTGCGCCCTGGCTCCGGCCGCGCCGCAGGGTTTTTTTTTTTCTTGCTTTGCCATTCTGGCCGCCCCATTTTTTTGTTTGTTTGTTTGCTTGGGGCAGCCAAAAAGCCAGAGCCGGCCCTGGGCACATGGCTCCGCGCGCTGCCCCTCTCTGCAGGCACCACCCTGCAGCTCCCATTGGTCACAGTTCCCTGTTCCCAGCCAATGGGAGCTGCGGGGGCAGTGCTTGCAGGCAGGACAGCGCATGGAGACCCCTGCCTCTTTGCCCCCCGGGGCTGCGGGGGCATGCTGCCCACTTCTGGGAGGGGCCGGGGCAGGCAGGGAGCCTGCCTTAGTGGCAGTGGTCAGCCCCTCTGCACCACCAGAGATCACGATCAACTGGGAGAGTCTCTAGGATTGACCAGTCGATCGTGATCGACCGGTTGGTGACCACTGCTCTAGTGTATGGAATTAGAACTGCTCACTTGTGTGTCTTAGATTCTACACTGGAAAGAGCAATAGGGGATTCCCTTTTAGCTCAAGTGGTAGGGGCCTGTGCTTTCTGGAGCAGGCAGATCAGAGTTATTATTATTTATTATTTGTATTGTGCTACCGCCCAGAAGCCCTCATCCTGGACCAGAACCCCATTGTGCTGGGTGATGTACAAACATAGACCATCCCTGCCCCAGGAGACTTACAGTCTCCATCCCTGCTGTCTCTGGGAAGGTCTGAATGGCGGTGGCATTCAGCATGGTGAGGATCATGGGCGGCTAACGGTCCGTCTACAATACACAGTGGAGGAGAATGCAACACAAAGAAAGAGTCAGGCTCCTTCCCCTCTCAAACCATTTCCTCACTCGTCCCTAGAAGGAGCTGAGCCATCAGAGCTGCACACGGCTGAGTGTGCTTTGCATTGCTGTACTGACCGCACACAGTGTGTCAGCCGGCAGGCGAGGGCCTCCAGGGAAAGGAGACAGAAGGGGTTTCTGAAGGCGCTCTGGGAAGGGGTTATGCTCTGTGTACTGCATCACCCAGAGGGATAGGATGGGGAGAGTCTCTTTTCTCCCTTCCCTCTGCTGTGACTCTCAGTTCTTGGCCTGCCACCTGCACTGCCCACCTGCCATTTGCTGCCCTGGGTGTTTGAATTCAGCACGCAAACATGCTGGGCTTTACTAGGTGTCTTGGGTAACATAATGCTGTAGTATAACCCACTAATTTGAGGAGGATATGAGTTGTTACAGCCCCCAGCTTGGGCACTGGGCTCTAGCTCAAACTGTAGCAGCTCGTGATTGTAGCTGTGGAGGCCCCTGTTGTGTTGGCCAAGAGGGCGGCTGTCACAGAAGCACACTGTATTCAAACACTGGGCAGCTGAGTCCAGCCTGACCCCACCTGAATCCCTGTCCTTACTCTTCTCCAGCAGTCGGGCCTCCCCCGATGGAACTGTGACTTGAAGTTCTATTGGGCCCTGGACGCTGCGTGTGATCTGCCGTTGCTTGGAAGGGTTTTGGGGGCCTCTGAGACCTAGGGCCTCTTGGGAAATGGACCTGTAGTACCATCTGACCCTGACCGTATGCCACTCTGTGTTTGTTTTGTATTGTGTCACACTGGTGTACCCATACATGCTCTTTGGGCAGGACCGGTGGAAGGATGTTTCGCGCCCTAGGCGAAACTTCCACCTTGCGCCCCCCCCCCATCCCCGAGCCCCCGCCCTGAGGCGCCGCCCTCCCCACGGCAGCTCCCCACCCTGTGGCATGCCCCCCGCCCCAGCTCACCCTTCTGCTCCGCCTCCTCCCCGAGCACACCATGGCTGCTTCACTTGTCCCACCTCCCAGGCTTGCGGCGCCAATCAGTTTAGGCGCCGCAAGCCTGGGAGGCGGGAGCAGTGAAGCAGCGATGGTGTGCTCGGGGAGGAGGCGGGGCAAGGGTGAGCTGGGGCGGGGAGTTCCCCTGTGTGCTGCCCCCCCTTGCTGCAGGCGGCCCTCCCCGCGCTCCACTGCCCCAGCTCCCTCCACCTAAATGCCGGCGGCGACCGGGGCGGGCGAAGATCCGGCCGCCGCGGTCGCTGCCGAAGAAAATGGAGCCCCCCAAATCCTAGCACCTGGTCAACTAAATGGTTGCACCTGCTATTTGTCGAACCCCAATCACCTACTGAACAGTCCTGTGTACACTTCCAGCCGTGTATAAATAACGCAGCAGAGGAGAGGAAAATCCATTCATTGCTTGGGAAGCTACTGAATGTTTGGAGTTGCGGGGACAGACAGCTTAGAGCGGTGAGGAGAGCTGGGAATAGCTTTGGGCTTTCACTTGCTCACTCCAAATATATTGGGGAATCTGCTGGTAGCCCTAAGGAAGGTATGTCTAAAAGCCGTTCCTTCCAACAGCAAAGTTGGCAGCTCTCGCCATCCAGAAAATAACAAACATTTCTGCAGTGAAGCAAGTTAATCTCCCCTTAAAATAAGAAGTTAAAAGGCAGGTTGGCTTTCGCTAGGACATGGAATTGCCATCTGCTTTCCCTGGGTTTAGTCTGTGCCTCACTGTAGAGTTCCTTCACTTATCAGGCTAGCTATTAATAGCGTCTGTATAAAAATACCCCTTTGTGATACATGAGACTGAAAGGTATTGTTAGCTAGTGGCACACGTAGCTCCAGGGGCTAGCAATCACTCAGACGGTGCTGGCATTGGAATGTGTGTTGCCAACCACCAGTGTGGGTGTTCAGCCTGCAGGACAAGCAGAGGAATGATGGAAACCGCATTGCCACTTTTAAACTAGCATGTTAACAGTTGCACTGTGCACATCGTCCACCCATGGGGCCTGTGGAGCTCAGGGTGCATTATCCTTCGATGGCTCCACTCCGCAGGGGGATCCCCCTTCATGGGGGTTCACTAGGCAGCCACTAGCTGTGGCAGCTCTGTCAGGCCTTCCATGCTGCCAGGAGTGGTGCTGGAGTCCCAGAGGGTACACATAGAGTGGAGAGTGGGTGTGGTGAATAAGAAGGTGCCATTTCTCAGCTCTGACTCTGTAGAGGAAGGATTGACTAGTGGTTAGAGTGGCGGCTGGAGACCTAAGTTCAATTCCCCGCTCTGTCATGGACTTTCTCTGTGATCTTGGACAAGTCACTTAGTCTATTTCAATTCCCCATTTGTAAAATGGGGGTAGTAGCCCTTGGAGGATGTATACATTAAAGAGTGTGAGGTGCTCAGATGACCAGGTAAGCACGGTAATTAGAGCCACAAGTTAATACATTTCATACCATGTTTTAAAAATGAAAAAAATTACCGAACTCCCTGGTTTAAGAGTTTCGTGCTTTACTTTACACAACTAGAGAGAGGACACGAACAAAAGAAAAGTCTCGTCACTTTTCTCCTTTAAGACTCTGCATTGTTTTCCTTAAGTGCTTTGAAGGGCATGTTCAGTTGTATTGGTAGCTACCTGCAGAGGGAGCCAGGAGCCATTGATTGAACTAATTCCAGATGAGAAATTCATCAAGGCCAAATCCCACCCCTGCTTTGCCCTAGTGCAGTGTGATGGCCTCCATTCGGTCCCTGCCACCTTGCTGGGCCTGGGTTTGATTGTCTGTGGATTGCACTAGCACACTGGAGTTTCCTAACACGCTTCTGTATTGGCCAGGCTGGCAGCCCGCATCATGTGGAGGATAGAGCGAGAGGGAGGTGGCCTTACTGAGGGCTGCTTGGTCTCCATCGACGACTTGCAGAACCACGTGGAGAACTTTGGAGAAGAGGAGAAGAAAGAGCTGAGAGCCGATGTGGAGAGTTTCCTCAACTTCTGGCCCCCCCAGAGCCAGCAGTTTGGCATGCAGTACATCTCTCATATATTCGGAGTGGTATGTCAGCCTCCTGGGAGAACAAAGCAAGAGCTATTTATAAGGCCCAAGGACAAGGGCTATGCTGAGTTCACAAAGAAGTCTGAAAATGAGCCTTCTGCCACTGACCCCTGTAGCCAATTAGTTCATTTTATCATCCATTTATCATTGTGTCATGTGGCATTATGGTCAATGCCTATGCTGTTACATATATAATCAATGTATGCTAAATAGATTTAAATTGCAGGATTACAGAAGTATAAGATTGACAAGTATTTAGGAGTGATGAGTGTGTATTAGATACATAAGTAAAGCATGGCTGGAATGCAAACCTACAGACTGAGGCCTGTCAGATTTTTGCTTAGACAAACTAGGCCATTGACTTAAGAACACTTGACATGAGTGGATGACGTAGGAATAACCCTATGTCAGTAAGGCCACAAGACTACTGAAAAAGATGTGCCAATAGTTAACGTTATGGAAACCTAGATTGCAATAAACTGCAAGCCGACGTCCAAGATCATGAGACACCTGATTGTAAAATCATGGAATGTCCTGTCCTGACCGCAGGCTACATGTTGTGCGTAGCTGCTATGAGAATAAGAGGAACTAAGAAACAACCTATGTAAAATGGGTCACCCCAGTATTCACAGGGTGTGGATGTACAGATAAGGAAAAGAGGGTTGAAACCCTCATGCATATGCATAAGATGTTAGGTGTGGTCAGAACAACACTTCCCAGTAAAGTATTTTGCACTTTTCACTAAGGCTCTCCTGACCCGTTACAAACAGTGAGGAAAAACAATGAGGAGTCCTTGTGGCACCTTAGAGACTAACAAATCTATTTGGGCATACGTTTTCTTGGGCTAAACCCACTTCATCAGATGCATAGAGTGAAAAATACAGTAAACAGCATATATATCATTGCATATGAAAAGATGGGAGTTGCCTTACCAAGTGGGGGGTCAGTGCTAACGAGGCCAATTCAATCAAGGTGAAAGTGGCCTATTCTCAACAGTTGACAAGAAGGGGTGAATGCCAACAGAGGGAAAATTACTTTTTGTAGTCCACTTTGATTCATAGAATCATAGAATATCAGGGTTGGAAGGGACCTCAGGAGGTCATCTAGTCCAACCCCCTGCTCAAAGCAGGACCAATCCCCAACTAAATCATCCCAGCCAGGGCTTTGTCAAGCCGGATCTTAAAAACCTCCAAGGAAGGAAATTCCACCATCTCCCTAGGTAACCCATTCCAGTGCTTCACCACCCTCCTAGTGAAATAGTGTTTCCTAATATCCAACCTAGACCTCCCCCACTGCAACTTGAGACCACTGCTCCTTGTTCTGTCATCTGCCACCACTGAGAACAGCCGAGCTCCATCCTCTTTGGAACCCCCTTCAGGTAGTTGAAAGCAGCTATCAAATTCCCCCTCATTCTTCTCTTCTGCAGACTAAACAATCCCAGTTCCCTCAGCCTCTCCTCATAAGTCATGTGCTCCAGACCCCTAATCATTTTTGTTGCCCTCCGCTGGACTCTTTCCAATTTTTCCACATCCTCCTTGTAGTGTGGGGACCAAAACTGGACACAGTATTCCAGATGAGGCCTCACCAATGTTGAATAAAGGGAAACAATCACGTTCTTTGATCTG